GTTTCCAGCCTCCCAAGCACTGGGATTATAGGCATGCGCCACCACGCCTAGTCTCAGCTTAGCATGTTCGGTGGGGCCTGGCGCTGCACACGGGGTCCCTGCGTCTGCCTAAGCAGGCACTTTAGTCAGCTGAGGTATCTGGCCCGCCCAGATCTTAGTATTATGACAACAAAAAAAATGAATTTCTACTCCTGTGGAATTTATGTGGGAGGGGCTAATTAAGAGAGTTGGTTATGTTTGACATAATAATTATGTGTTATATATAATTCTAGGAACCCAAAATTTCTTAAATGTTTTCTGGGTCTTGAATTAGAAAGTATGGTATTTAAAATCTTGACTAAATTTTTACTTTTCTAGCAAAATCTTAAAAGTTTGAAAAGTCTGGATTTGTTTAACTGTGAGATCACAAACCTGGAAGATTACCGAGAAAGTATTTTTGAACTGCTGCAGCAAATCACATACTTGGATGGATATGATCAGGAAGATAATGAAGCACCAGACTCAGAAGAGGAGGATGAAGGTAACCATTTTTAGTGTGTCATCATTTTAGCCTCTACTGTAGCCATGCATAATAGATTGGGCCTAGAGATTTAGTTGTAAAGAAAAAAACCCCACACAGGATACTAGTATGATAAGAAAAAACATAATACCCATGGCTGTAGTCTTTTAGATATCTAATAGTTTTAGAAAATTTAATGATTTTTGTAATATGGTCTTTCATGAAACTTTATATCTATTTTTCTTTTTAACTTTCTGTAAAGCTTTATTCCAGAGGGGCTCAGGCCTTTCTCATGGTGGCCAGCACGTTGCTCAGCTCCTTATGCTTCCTCTTGGTGTGGATGTGTGTCTCCACCCTTTTCGTGATGAACTTGAGGGTGCATTTGTCCTTGGAGACCTTGAGCAGCTCCATGGCGCGCTGCTCTAGGGGGTGAAGCCGCACACCTCCCGGATCATGTCCCGCAGGAATTTGGTGTTTGGTGAAACGTCCGCGATGGTGGCTGTGCCTCGGTTTGCTCACATTCTTAGTCACCTTGTGGCCCTTGTTGAGTCCCACAGCCATGGGATAGCGGAGGGTCCTGGCTACTCTTCCCGGATGGTTGCTGTGGTGGAAGGACCAGAGCCGCGCGGAACTGTGGGAAATCTCTGTTTAAATTTGTGTGAGGATCACCCGGGATTGGCAGTAACTTTTTTTTTTTTTGTGGTACTGGGGACTGAACTCAGGCCCTTGTGCTTGCCAGGGAAGCGCTTATTCCACTGAGCCATCTCCCCGGTCCCTTTAGCTTCTTAAATACTAGGTTTTTTTTTTTCCCCCATTAAAAGATTGTTCAGGGCTGGTGAGATGGCTCAGTGGTCTAAAGCTCCTACTTAGAACAAGCTTAGCAAAGCACAGGGACCGCGGTTCAATCCCCCAGCACCACATGCCAGCCAGCCCCGCCCCCTGGTGGGCTGAGCTGACCACACACACACACACACACACACACAAATAAATAAATAAAAATTAAAAAAAAAGAAATGGTGACTTATTAAAAAAATTGAAAAAAAAATAAAAAAAAGATTGTTCATTACAGTATTATTCATAAAAGCTCATTGATGAATGGGTAAAAAACCCCACATCCATAAAATGTACCATTTGGCCTCATAAAGGTGAGTGAAGAACTGTACATGCTACCTAAGGGAAGGTTAAAAACGTTCTAAGGGAGAGAAGCCAGGCAGGAGGGGCCACCTGTGGTCTCCTGCAGGCTGGGTGGGGCTGGGAAGCGCGGTAGGGTAGGGGGCAACCAGTGCGTGTGGGACTTGGGTTGTGAAGACACAGCTGAACGTTTAGGTAAATGGAAGCATCACAGCTCAGATGACAGAAGAGTGATAGGGCTTTGCTTTCGCTGTGTGAGACGTTTTTCACTGTTATACTCGATGGCTAAACAGTGTTATAAAATGTTGGACCGATAGCTTTGAAGTGTCCACTCAGCTTCAGTGCATACAGTGTTTGCTGAAAATCTATGCTTTGGAAAGGTGAACAGTATTAGATATGCTACTTCTTCAGTAACACATGTCATTTGTCTAACACTGGAATCTTAAGAAAGGTCATCCTGGGGTAGTTTCTGCACACTGGGGTAAGAATTTAAAGCAGTTCGGTAGGATGGGTGAGGCCGGCACACTGGCCAGACTACGTGCCTGGCCGTTGCTCATGTTTTACCTTTTAAAAGATGGAGAAGAAGATGATGAAGATGAAGTTGGTTTCCCAGATTGGGATGAAGAGGAAGAGGAGGAAGACGAAGATGAGGAGGAGGAGGAGGAGGAGGAGGAAGAGGCTGGCTCGGAACTGGGGGAGGGAGAAGAAGTAGGCCTGTCGTACTTGATGAAAGAAGAAATTCAGGTGAGTTGATGCTTTGTATTTGCCCTGAAAGTCATTCAGCCATAAGGTTAAATACCATAAAAAGTGTTATGTAGAAGTCTGAGAGCTGCTTTCTACCTTGGGAACATGCACGGAGCAACGACAGACACCTGCCGACTGCCTCTCCACTCCTCTTCCAGTCCACTCTGGGCCTAGTGGCACAGTGTGGAATGAGTACTGTTTCTGTACTTATCTATATATTTTTTTTTTTTTTGGAGGAACTAGGGGTTGAACTCAGGCCCTTGCGCTTGCTAGGCAAGCACTTATTCTACTGAGCTATCTCCCCGGCCCTTATGTATTATTTTTAATGTATTTGGTACAGGGTCTCAGACCCAGCTCAGACTCATACCTTCTGTTTTTGGCCTCACCCAGCACTGGGATTACAGGTGTGCGCCACCACACCTGGTCTCAGTGACTGGCTCAGTGTGCCCAGGGGCAGGGCTAGCTTGGCTTGTGGTGCTGGGTTTGAACCCCAGTCTCTGTGCTTGCCTAAGCAGGTGCTTAGTCCACTGAGCTATCTTACCAGCCCCATTTTTGTATTTATAAAGGAGCAATTATAACAACTTCTTTGGATTGTTTCAGGATTTAGCTTGTTTTCTTTGAGGCAGAGTCCTGCTGTGCAGCATAGGAGGGCCTTGGTTTCTCTGTGAACTGTGTGCTGGCCTCACATTCAGCCATCCGCTTGCTTTGCTGCTGTGAAGCCTGGATGACAGGTGTTCGCCACCACTCCTACCTCCTGTTTTAAGGATTTAGCAAGATAATATATTTAAAATGTCTAGTCTGTGGCATATTATAGGCACTCAAGAAAACTAATTTCAAAAAAAGAAAGAAAACTAATTTCTTCCCTCTACTTATCTCTTGCTTCACATTCTTCTAGTAGCGTTCCTAATGGTCTCTGCAGACAGGAGTTCCCCTCTTAGGAATGCCTCCGTGGTCCACCTTGTCGCCTGCGGTGTCTCTCCTGGCATTTGCTGTGGCCCCATCTGAGTGCACGGCACCCTTCGATTTTTTCTGTGTGGCCCTGCTTCCTTCCTGATTTCCCTTCAGGTGTTCATACGAGGCAATTGCTTGACTTTCTGTCTGTGTTTCTGATGTTGGCCTCGTCTGAGATGCCTACACTTGTGCTTCTTGATAAATTTTACTTTTGTTTGTGCTGAGGTGAGCATAAGTTCAGTGAGGCATGTAAAGTGCATTAACTTACATACAGGTACATCAAATGTTACATTTTTATATACTTTACAAATACCATCCAAATCCTGTCTTGTGAACTCTTACCTTCAACTTAGCTCTGGATTTAATTTCTTTTTTTTTTTTTTTTTTGTGGTACCGAGGATTGAACTCAGCAGCCTGTACTTGCCTGTGCTTTGCTAAGCTTGTTCTAAGTAGGTGCTTTAGACCACTGAGCCATCTCACCAGCCCCCTCAGTTACCTTTAAACCCAGGCTTCCATTGCTGCCAGACACAGGGTTTTTTTGGTTATTTTTTTGAGATAGGGTCATGCTATGCAGCTCAGTCTGTCCTTAAACTCACATTGGAGCCCAGCTGGTCTCAAACTCTCAGTGATCCTCCTGCCTCAGCCTCCTGAGTGCTGGGATCACAGGCGTGTGCCATCAGGCCCTGGCACTGCCAGACAGTGTTTTATGGCTATTTTCCTTCAGGCAATGGGTCCTTGGGGGAGGGGCATTCATCTTTGCATCCAAACTTCGTACATTGAGTACTATCCAAAGGATAAGTGATCTTCAACTCTTGTGAGTTTAGAGACATTACTCTCTCATAATATTAAATCAAGGTTTATTTCCATAATTCATAATTTAAAATAACTTTTTTTGAGACAAGTTCTTGCTATGCACTTTTGGCTGACCTTTTTAATTTAATTTAATTTTATTTTTTTGGCAGAACCAGGGATTGAACTCAGGCCCTTGCGCTTGCCAGGGAAGCGCTTATTCCACTGAGCCATCTCCCCGGCCCCTTTCTATTTATTTTGTTACCAGATCAGTACTGTACTTATTACAAATCTTCTATATCCCCTGGTCAGAAAAGAGCAGTTACAAATAACA